GCCTTGAATTCCTGCCCAAATCCCCAGCCACTTTGTTTGTCTCAGCTTTATGAAGATCTCTTGCTTGCAACCCTGGCCTGTGCCTGCAAGTAAATAGCAGAATAGCAATCTTCCCAGGGCTGTCCCTAGTTTTTTGAATTAGTAACACCTTGTTGTCTCTGGTCAGGCAGTGGCATGAGAAGCCCTTTGTTAGCTGGAGGTTGTGTGTCCTGCGTGGGCTGGGCAGTGTGTGTGCCCATGTGGGTTTGTCTGCTTGCCCCTGGTCCACCCGTCTTCTTCTGTCGCTGGCCTCTCCGTGGCTTTGCAAGCATGATGCCCCATGGTCGCTCCCCTCCCTCCCCAGAGCCCCCAGCCCCGCAGGGAAGAGGGGGTTTCCTCATCTGCCTGCCATGTTTCATGTATTAGCACTTTATGATGATGTCCATGTCCCGGTGGTGGCATGAGCCTGGCATCACTTTCCCCCGGAAGGCTCAGGCACGGTGGAGATGAGGACCTCACTCGGTCGGGGACCCACAGCCCTGGCACCCAGCACCCCCGTTCCCTGCTCACCCTTTCAGTCTGTGTGCTGGTGGTGCGCACGTAAGGTGTCGGATGGGTGTATGCCGCACCTTTGCTGCTTTGCTGAGCCAGGACTTGTCCCCCTGCCATCCGTCCCCAAGGCGCTTTGCGACTCTGTCCCCCTGCAGTAGCGTCCCGTATCAGGGTGTTTCTTCGAGCCATGTGTCTGGCCCCATCCAGCTATTTGTCGTTGTAGCCATTTTTCTTCGAGTATGCAATATCCCATACCATTGCTGCCACAACTAGATAATGTGCCATAATTGATACTGTGGAGCATTGACAGTGCAGCCGAAAGTGTTTTTATATGCAATATTATGAGCAGTGGAAGCTCACTGGGGCTTCTCATAGGTTTTTAATGAAGACTTTTATTAAAGGCTTTAAAAAAAAAGGAAGAAAAACTTGGTCCTTGTATCCCTTCCTATGCATTTTGAATGATATGAAGATGAAATGCATTACTTAAATGTGTATTTTTATCCATATATTAGAGTGTATTCCTTGTAAAGTATTTTTATATGCTAATTTTCTTATGTATCTATGAAAGCACAATATTTAAAAGTACAGCATTTCAAAGAATATTTTAGTCCTGTTTTGGACCTCTTTGTAAATCTCTGTATTTAAATGGGATTGCAATGACTTTGACTTTTTTTTTAAATTAAATAAAAGCAAATGAAATGCATTTGTTTTTGTTCGTGTCTCTTTCTGCTGGAGGACAACAGTGAGGCAGCACTCTGCTTCCAGCTCTATTTTAACTTGGTGGAGGATCCCCAGGTAAGAAACACCTTGAAGGACAAGGGGGAGGGCATGCAGGAGATTTTGCTGGGGGGGGGTACTGCTTGTAGGGCTACCAGTGTGGGGCTAGGGTTGTTCCTTGGCTTCTTCGTGACAAAACACCAATGCAGCAAAGCACGTGGTAGCCATGATGTGGCCGTGGCAATGTTTGCGAAGCTACGGTTAATCCCTATGGATGACTTAGTAAAACCGCTGGAGGACGATGTGCTGGCACCCTGCAGCTCTAGTGGGGTGCCTTGGGGAGCCACACTGTGGTAGCCGAGTCATCCCACCTCTGAAATCAGATGTCCAAAGAGATGACTGCCACGAACCCAGAACATAGTTCCTTGTATCCCCTGTGTTGAGGATTTTGCTCTTACAAAGGGGTTTGGGACACCTCTGTGCTCCCAGCATGGGCAGTGCAGGCTGGGATGCTCCCCAGATAAAGCCGTAGGGAATCTCTCCTCACTGGCAAAGAAAGGGTGAGCAAAGGGTTTTGCAACCCTTCATGGCGAAGTGCATAATGCAGGAATGTTTGGAGGGCTGAGCATGGTATGGAAATGCTCCTGGTTAGACTTGGGGAATCATTGTCACATAAACAAGCCTTATCTGCCATCTCTGGCTGCCCTCTGGGGTGCAAACTTCAGAACGAGGTACTGGGGGCTTGCCAAATCCACGTGGAGCCAACCAAGGTGCTGGGGCACTGGCAGGTTTAACAAGAGCCCGTGCAATGTGACCAATGGGGTTTTGGTGTGTACACCAGGTAGAAGGTTAGCATGGTGCTGCTCCCCTGGCATGTGCTTGCCAGGCACCTCAGTGGGCAGCGTATCTTCCCTCTAATGTCCCCTTGTGTCCCACAGACCTTGGCTGAGGGAGCCGGCCGCAGCCATGGATAGATGATGGCTGCCCATGGTAGGTACATGAAGCCCTTCGGCAGCAGCTGCCATGGTTTAACCTCAGCCGGCAACTGAGCCCCACGCAGCCACTTGCTCACTCCCCCCCGGTGGCATGGGGGAGAGAAAATCAGAAGAGCACAAGTGAGAAAACTCGTGGGTTGAGATAAAGACAGTTTAATATAGCAAAAGCCATGCACGCAAGCAAAGCAAAACAAGGAAGTCATTCCCTGCTTCCCATGGGCAGGCGGGTGCTCAGCCATCCCCAGGAAAGCAGGGCTTCATCATGTGTAATGGTGACTTTGGAAGACAAACGCCATCACTCCGAATGTGTCTCCCCTTCCTTCTTCCCCCATCTTTATGTGCTGCGTGTGATGCCATACAGTGGGGGATATCCCTGGGGTCAGTTGGGGTCAGTCCTCTCCCAGCTCCTTGTCCCCCCCCCGCCAGCCTCCTTGCTGATGGGGCGAGAAGAAAAGGCCTTGGCTTTTCTTCAGTCCTGCTCAGCAAGAATGAAAACACAGCCCCATACTACCTAGTAGGAAGAGAATTAGCTCTACCCCAGCCAAAACCAGCACAGCAGCTCATGGCTCTCAGTGGCGTTTAAAATTGCTTATTTATTTTAACCTGCGATGTGCTGCAGTTGCTGTCTGTGCCGGTATCAGGCGGCTCAGCCCAGGCATTGCGGGCTTTGCTGATGGGAGGGGAAATCCCTGCCAAAGTCCTCAACTCTCACCCAGCAAAATAACCAACCGAGCCAAAAAAAGCTCTGAATAAAGAGAGCTGTGGGGCTAATCCTGGGCATGGGGTGCTGGAGCTCAGCAGTGATCAGGGCCTGATGCACGAGTGATGAGCAGCTTTACTTTTCACAAATAGTAGCCACCTACATGCTGGGGTTTGTGGTGGGGTTTTTTTTTTTTTTTTTTCCCTACCTCAAATCAGGACTTAAGGAAAAGCCTCTCAGGTTTAACCTTCATCTGCTTGACTGGACAAGCCACCAGAGAGCCTTAAATGACTGGGCTCACACACCAGGAAAACAAACGTTGAGCATCAGGGATGGTTTAGCTCTTGCTTGGCAGCACCAAGGCCTTTGCTGCTGCGCACGCTGCCCTGCCAGCGAGGAGGCTGGGGGGGCACAAGGAGCTGAGGGGGCAGAGCCGGGACAGCCAACCCCAACTGGCCCAGGGGCCATTCCAGACCCTGTGCTGGTGTGTGCAGAAATCACCCTGCAGCAGGCAGGGGCGGCCACTGCCGGGGACTGGCTGGGCATTGGTTGCTTAGTGGTGAGAAATTATTTTCCTTTTTTTTTTTGCATCACTTGTTTTTCTTGGTTTCGTTTTTCCCCCCTCTTCGGTGTGTGTTTTTTTTCTTTCCTCCTTTTTTCAATTATTAAACTGTCTGTATCCCAGCCGACTTTTTTTTTTTTTTTTTTTTTTTTTTACTTTTACTTTTACCTTTCCGATTCTCTCCCCATCTCACTGAGCAAGGGGGTGAGTGTGGGGCTGAGCTGCTGACCAGGGTGAAACCATGGCAGGTGTGAAGTCAGATAGTGAGCTGGGCCAAGCAGGTTAGTGAGGAAGGAATATTTTATAAGGAGAAAAAACCACACCCAAACCCCAAGCCAACAACCTCACAATAAATAATGAGTAAGTTTAAAGGAAGAATTGAGCTACCCAAAGACCAAAAAAAAAAAAGAAAAGCAGCCAACAGCATAGCTGGTTTATAAAGGAAAGTTTTATTTTCCGTTATAAGGTGATTACAAACTCATCTAAAAAAAGCAAAGATGACTTAAAAATATCCATATACATTTTATTTATCTAAAAAGCAGAACAGAAACTGCAAAATACAAACATTTACCATATACACAAAGGCTAGAGTTTTTAGGATTAAATTACACTCCAGGATTTTTTCCAAATACAAATATTCTGTTTTTGGAACACACAGAAAAATGTTTTAAAATGTTTTAAAAATATTTTTAAATTTTTTTTTAAAAAAGTTCAGATGACATTTTTAAGGAGGCCAGCATCGATGTCGCCTCCTCGCTGTATGTGCTACTCATCACGTTACTGTAGTCACAGTTGCTAGGAATTTAAATAATAAAAAAACCACCACTGTTTTTTCAGCCAAATACATCAAACAAGATGGACCACCTCTTATAACGTAAAGTCCCTGGCAACATTATCAGGTAACAATCACAACATTACACTGGAGAAAAACAACATCCTATAGAACAACGAGCACTTCGGAACAGTACAGGGATGCTGCAATGCTGAGAGACTGGCGCTGGCTTCCAGAGCAGGAGCGGATGACAAACAAACTCAACTTGCCCCCAAGGATTTTTTTTTTTCTTCAGCCTCTCAACATGATTTTGCCACTGTTCTCATTTTTTTTTCCTTTATATATTGAAAACAAAACAAAAATCAAATCTTTTTAACATCTCAACTGCAGAAGCAGATAGATCTAGAAACAATGTCTCATGCTAACATGTACTATGCTACAGGACCGAAGCCTTCCCCCACATATGCAGGTACACAAAAGCACACATGCACAGCTCCTCAGCATAATCAGATTTCACTTTTTTCTTTTTTTTAAACCATATTTTTCCCCATTATGTGTTCTTATTTTTCAAGTCAGGCCATGCTTTCCCTGTGCTGCAAATCGGAACATGAGCAGCACCGTCCCACTGTGCACCACAGAGCCAAACCATAGGGAGGAAACCTCCAGAAACTTGCTCTTTAAAAAAAAAAAAAAAAAAAAGAAGTCTTTGATTTGCTTTATTCCTAAAGCTCAGGGCTGTGGAAAGCTTGTGGCAATTCAATTCTGAGACTGTTACTGATTATTTCAAATTAAGACACAGCAGCCACACAAAAAGGCCGTGTCTGCACTGCCATTCAATAGCCCAGCAATACCAGCAGGGTCAGGCTCTTTTCCAGTTGCAAGCCCTGTCACTGAAGTTTTCCACCTTTGATGGAGATGGGGGAGTGATTAGTGTTCCTACTGTTGCCAATCTCAAAATTTCGAGCTTGTGTCTTTTTTTGGGGGGGGGTCAAATGGTGCCTAAAGCTCTTTCTGCTCTTGTTTTAGGACATGAGTAACTTGAAATCACCAATTCACAATGACAACTGGAAAAAACACAAAAAAACCTGACTCTCATTTTTTAATAGAAACAAATTCAGATTTTTTTATTTTATTTTATTTTATTTTATTTTATTTTTTAAAGCAGAGAGGCATTGTCCATGCACAGGTTCATTTTGGGCTGACAGAAAAGAGCCATGATCCAGTGGAGGGTGCAGGGCTGGAACAGGCAGTTTTCCAGCTGGGGCTAGTGCTGGTTAGGCTCGAGTCTTTCTTGATCAAGCATTCTAGTAAACTCAAATTGACCATTGATACCAATAGAAATTGCTTATGACCAAAGTATGGAGCTCAGGGGGCCTCTTTTGCACTAGTTGATGGGTATTTTTGAGTTTCAAGGTGTCACCAAATCAACCGAATTCTTCCTTTCTAAAGCTTATCTTTGATTACAAGAAATAAAATGAGCTACTGGGGTCTGACACTTCCTGATCTATGCTCATGCAAATATACAAATACACAACTAACTACACATCAATCTTAGTCATGAGGCTTTGGATGCTGATTTTGGAGAAAACAAGTCCAAGGCAGCTGCCTGAAACCACACCACACCCAACCTCCTGTACCATGTGGCGCTTACAAAGAGCCAGGAGAGTTTCCAGTCCCACCTCAAGGCATCCTTGGAGGGGCCACAGTCCAGGATTTTGTCATTACCTTCCCTCTTTCACCACCCCCAATTTAGGGAAGGCCACTTGGGCACGCTGGCAAGTTGGCTCTTTGCAGGCAAGTGGTGCTTAAATCTTCTCAATCCTCATCCTAAACAGCTCTGCAAGACTTATGCACATGATTTGGCAGCCCAGGAATAAACACTTGTGTGCGTGCATATGAGGGTGAAAGATTTCATCTACTACTCTACTTAAACACAGTTTGTTTGGTTTTTTTTTCTTTTTACTGAAAGTGAGCAACTTCCATTGAATCTCCTGGAAATGATGTCAGGGTCATCTTTCTTCCAAGTGTACTCGAGCTGCTTAACTAACTTGTCCACTCCATTCAATACACAGCTTATTAACATTTTATATACATGATGCCTCCATGAGTGGTCCTGCAGTGCCCACAAGACGTGGAAGCTAATCATCAGTTATGCAAAAACGTTCAAATCCTTCTCCCACAGATGGAGTTTTGCCATTGATGCAACAAGTGGGAGCTTTGAACCCAAGTGTGACAAATATGACCTCACTAAAACTCTAAGTCTCCTGCACAAATCAAAGCAGACTGGGAGGAGACTTGTAAAAGGTCTATGGAATGGAAATGTCCATGTGTCTTCAGATCTACTCGAGTTGTCTAACGCTGAGACAGAGAAGAGGAACCAGGAGTATCTGCAGTTGAGAAAGGAGGATGCGCACACAGGACTGAAAACAGCCGCAGAAGATGCTAGCCTGACGGTGACGTTGAAGGCTCTGCTGATGGTTGTTGTTGGGTTTTTTTGTGTTACACCAACCGTAAGGCTGCACCATTTTGTTTGTTTGTTTTCCTCTTCTCCTCCTCTGCCCAAAACCAGCTGTGAAAATCAGTTTTGCTGAGCTGTTTTAGCAGACCTTTCCTAACTTCCCTCCACTCCAGGAGCGGCACGGGGGTGAGCACCAGCATTGTTCTAGATGGCAAACACAGCTGCGAGGCTTTTGTATTTTCACTTCAAACACAAGAACAAATCCATTGTGGACCTACTATCTCACACTTTACAGAGGACTTTTCTAAGTGTGTGGATCTGTTTGGACCAGATGAAAAGGAAAGCTACGGATGAGAAGGAAAATGAGAACAACAACAACAACAACAATAAAAACCAGTTCTATTTATGAAATCATACTGTTTAAATACCAAAATACAGACTACTGGTAAAGTCCCTTACAATAGATGCCCACTCAGTGAGATCATAACTAGTGACAGGTGAACTGAAAAATTTTGGAAAATTGAGAAAAATATGAAACAGGTTGGAAAATCTTGTAGGGTAAATGTTCCCCTTTACATTTCTACTGTCTCTTGATTTCAGTTCAGCTGGAAATAAATACTGCCGAAAATCTGCCATTTTCAAGCCCAGAAGAACCCACGAATACAAAGGTACATGAAATATGAAAAGGTGTGGGCTTTGTCTGGCTTTATTCTGGTTTTGAGCTCAGGGATCTGGTTCTAAAGATCTCATGCCAAAACTTCACTAATTTCTCCCTGATCCAAACCAGTTCATCTATGACTAGTCATGGTATTTTAATATAGAGTTCCTCATTTACATAAAACAGGTAAAATAGGTCACAAGTGTTTAAACAAGTAAATTAGGAAAGAAAAACCAGTTGTATTTGCAGTCAGAAATAGGTAGAAAACACAGGCTTTTTTAAAAATCGTTTTTTAATAAATTTAGCAGAGGATCACGTTGAAATGTAAATTTATCACCAAGAAAAGTTCAGAAATCTGATAAAAGTGTTAGGAAAAAAAACCCCAAACTGTAAAAATGTGAGTGTGCTCATTGGAACTCAAGCCCCAGATAAACCAAGAATTATTTTTTTTCTTTTTTAACGGGAGAGAAGAGGGGAGAGGGGAACTGTTTTCCAGAAACAAGAGTTTCTTAGCTCTTCGTGAGTCCCAGCCCTCTCTTGCTAAAGAGGATAGCGGGGCCAGAGAAGGTGGCATAGCGAATGCTTCAATGAGGTTGTTGCATATGTGCAAGACATTTTCACTTGGTACATGGAAGCGACTGATTTGAATGGCACAGTTTATATCGAAACGGGGCTGGGTTCTAGTTCTTTAGTAGTTGTACTTGGAAAGGTGTAGTATTAACCCTCTGGTTCTTAGCACAAAAGATGCTCTCCACAATGCGGGAGATGGCTGAACACCCGGCTGACTCGCCGGAGATATCTTTGATGTAGCCAAACCATTATTTTTCCCTAACTAAAGCTTGTCTCAGCTCTATAGCATGAAAGTGATGTGCAAACTATATCTCAAATGCAGTTGTATGACAATGTGTATATATATATATAAAAAAAAAAAATCCCCCTAACCTGCTACTGCCTCTTCACCCAGGCAAGTGTGCCTGTTTACTGCAGATGCTAACTATAACTCTGAAATGAGGGTCCAAGCTGAAGCCCCACTAAAAGAGTTATCTTTGATTACATTTCCTTGCCTTTGATGGTTAAAGGCTACATTAAAAAACCAAACCAACTGTATGCATGTTTCTTTATTTTGGGCACATTTGATGACGCCCCCGGCTCACCGAATTCCTCCAGTGACCTTCAGATGGCTATTGCCACTGGCCTGGCAGGTGACATTAGTTGTTTGCCATCTCCAGCTGTGGAAAAGTTTCATTTATAACTCAAAATACAGCAACCAGAAAAAGAAAATGAAAGTAATTCTCCCGTGGCTGGTTTTGTTGCTGCAACTCAGCTATCTGATGTAAAAAAGTGTACAAATTCAAATTAGAAAGATTTTGAAAGTTATAGATGCAGCCACTTTTTCTTTTTTTTTTTAATTTATTTTGGTCCATCCCTGAAGTTTAATCACCCCTTTTCTGTCACAGGAGAACCACCAAGCTAATCAACAAGCGTTTGCGCTGCTGTGGCCAGTTAGCCCATGGGACAAGAAAAAATAAAACAAAACTACTGTGTAGGAATGTTAAGAACTGGATATGTTCCTATTGAAATGACAAGCTCTGCCCTGACAGACTAAGCTGAAAGTAGAATAAACACATGCAAACTCTGCTTTTATCAAGCAATTCCTCTGAATACCTTCGGATAGCCTAACTGTGGTATCATAAGAACTAAAAAAACCTTTCCTTCCAATACAATGCCCACAGGAAAAGGCTGAGTTTCACCAGAGAACCTGTTCCCAGCACAACCTGCTCAAGTTTTTAAAAAAAAAAAAAAAAAAAAAAAATTTGTCCATGTTTTGGACAATCTTCAGGGAGCAATTCCCCATGGAAACTTCCACCTGGCCCACACAAAGCAGAACCCCCATTCTTACACTCCTCGCAGTGGTTTCCCTTCACTCCCCAGTCTAACCTGGAACGGTACGCAATTCTTTCTGACCAAATACAAAACATTTCAGTGTTACAGGTTCCCTTTGCCTTAGCTTAAAATCCCGAAAGCCCTGTTTCTTCAGCAGATGAGATTCATAAACCTCATAGATATGTCTGCCACCCTCCAACCCCCCTAAAAAAAGATAAAATTATGGTTTAACCCAATGATGGGCAAGGAGACTGGGAGCCATAGGTCCAGTGCTGCTATTTAGTAACAAGGGACAAGGGACTTAGTTCTTTTGTCTGTTCCCCAACAGTAATGACTGCCCACCCCCAAATAAATAAATAAAGCAAATCCTGGGTACCGAACTTGGCAAAGCACTTTTGAGATACACGGATGAAAAGCACCTGTTTGCTGAGTGATATTATTATCTTCATTACGATTATTATTATCAACATGTCTGTTAGAAATACTGGTAACACCAGGTGCAGGTGAGCGGTTTTGTTCCTCCTGTTGGGGGTGACCTGGTTTGTGTTCACCTTTGGACGATCAGAGTCTAGAAGGGATTCTCTTATTTTTCCGCCCGAAACCAAAGTCCAATAATTAACCCACAAACAAATGAGCAAGCAAATGTCTGAAGCACCCAGAGGGCAGGTGCTGCTTTTCCCCTCTCAGCTCCTGGGCACTTGCCCTTGCTACCCCGGGGACAGGCTGCCCCTTCCAGTTTGCAGAATTCAAGTTTACACCAGTGCCACCACACTAAAATACGCTTTGCTGGAAAACTCAGGAGCACGTACTCAACCTCCCCATTCACGCACAAACAGCAGGCATTTCACTTAAGTGAAAAAAAACCCCAAAACCTAAAAGAAAAAAAAGTGTGAACCATGCCAGATCCTGCAAACGCCTTCCTCGAGTCCTCCTCTTGGCTGTGTGACAGGGTCCCAACACCGTGCTCGGGAGGGACAGCCCCAAGTCTTTTCACACTCAACTTCTCTGCCTCCCTCGCAGACTCTCCGCTCCAGCTGCCTGGCTCTATCTTTATTCAGGAACTGTGCTAAACATAACTGTACCCTTTCCCTAATGTGACCCTGAGGCCTGTCGTTTACCACAATTGAACCAGAGGGTGGAAATACTACACCTTTGAAAAGTCTCTTGAAACAGTGTCTTTTTTTTAATCGTATCTCTCAACAGAGCTCCTTTTGTGTGTCCTGTAGGTTACCCTGCTCCCAACCATACCAGCACCTAGAATTGCTTTCTGAGACTTGAATGTATTGCTGGCAAGACAATCAATTCAAGTGGTAAGGTGTATAATATTTAGAGATAAAGATATATATATTTAAAAAAACCCAATATTAGTAAATTCCTGTAATATGTCTAGTCTGATATGAAAGCTCTCCCTCTACAGAGAGACATCTGCTGTGATTACCTTACAAAATATTAAAAAAAAACCACACACAAAAAATAACTTTCTCTGTGAGAAATAAAAATAAATCCTAGTGCAAATATAAAGCTCTGTAAACCTGGTCCTATGAGAATCTATGGTTAGTAAACGGCAGTTAAAGCAGATTTATCCTCTCACAGAGAGAGCTCACATCATGGTTTCCACAATGATATGAGTTGGCTTGATCAATCCGCCATTTGAAGTTCCATTGGGGCAGAAGGGGGTGCCACTCTCCGTTTCTTTGGACCACCGATTCACTTCCTTGGGGGCAGCCACCGCTTTTATCCTCTGGAAGAAAGAAGAAAATCAAAGGTGAGAAGACCAAGCAGCCCCTGTGTCTCTACCAGGGATGGAGGACATTGGCAATCCGAGGACAGGGGTGGTGGCCATCAGAGACATGCGTATGCCGTGTGGCTCTGCAAGGACGTGGGGACCTGGGCTGCAGAGCACCGCACTCAACTCCTGCTCAGCTGCAGAGTCTGGTTTGATGCAGGCAAGTCAGACACGAGAGGGCATTCACGGCATTATCAGCATCCTGCACGCTGGGGCTTTCAGTGCTGCAGCTGCTGCTTGAATTATGTGTGTTCTCCTTCCTCATTTAGAAACAGCTCTGCCTTTTAGCCCAGCCACTCACTGCCAAGCGGCGACTTCTCTCCTACATCTCAGTTCACAAAGGAAGAACTAAATGGCATCTGACCAGTGCTTACTCTCTTTCCTAACATGGTCTTTTAGGAGTGTTTTGGCTACTTTTAGACTTGTCTCTCAATAGAGGGTGACAATGTAGGCAGGAAAATAAACACTCATGAAAATGCTCTGGCCACATCTGAAAAGGACCATTAACACTTGGAGGAAAACGAATGCAAGCGTTTGTGCTCTGGGAAATGCTCTTTTTTAAAATTCTATTCTCTCTTTTTTCCTAACCCAAAGTGTCCCACTTTCTCCTCCAAGAATACTCTGGGCTGCATTTAAGATCGTCTCATTAGGGAAAAAAAAACAAAACTAATCTGAAAGCTTAGAACTGAATTGCTAAGTTGCATGCTTGCGCAGTCTCTGAAAACTTTCCACTGGAAGAAAAACAAATCAGGGGAACCTGTGCTGACTGGGAAAGGCAAGAGATTGCCTGCAAATCCAAACCTGAGAGAATCCGCACTGTCAAGTCTGAATCCAACCCAAAGTTTTCCAAAGATCAGGGCAATCTGGATCCAGTGTTTTGATTTGATTCATTAGGAATAATAAAAAAAAATAATTAAAAAAGTTAAAAAGTGAAGCCCACTGGCAGGAGGGTTTGACCTTTTTTCAGTCCCCCAGAGTGCCTGAGAGCCACACAATCCACAGGCGGATCCGAATTCTCCTGCAATTCAGTGAGCTCTCAGATAGCCGTGTTTGACCCAGGTCTCTCTCTCTCGTTTTCTCAGTGATTTGTAGGCTGGTGTTTTCCTCATCCCCGCGGGCTGGAGAAGAGAGATCTGGCACTGGGAAGCACCCCGGTCCTTCAGCACTTGTCTGCACATGGAGGCAATGATTTGCCAAGCTAGAAACTGCAGCAAGTGGGACGCAAGTCAAATCACCTGGTGTTTGTCTGAGGACAGAAGGCTTTCTGTTTGCTCTGTTTCTACTGTTTGCCCAAAGGACAGCTGATCTTTAACATTCTTATTTGCATTCACTGCAGGAGAGGCGCCCAGCTTTGCCCTACCTGGACAAGGTGGCAGTTTTCCAAGCATTGTGCTTATTTTGTGCAAAACACACTGAGTTAAACCTCCCTTTCTCCTCCAGACAGCCAACGGATTGCTCTTACCTCAATGAGCGACCCATCTGACTGTATGATGCGGATGACCATCACCATAGGGATGCAGATCATGGAGGAAAGGGCAAGAACCCAGCCCAGGCCAATTGCCCAGTCTGGGTATGTGTAGACCTTGTTGTAGGTCAGTGGTTTGTACTTGGCCAAAGAAAAGATAAAGCACCCCTGTGGATGAGAAAGGAAAACAAAGTGAGGCTCAAAACATGCTGAAAGCAGCACGGCTCTGGTGCTACCACTGGCCCTAAGGAAGACAGGCGGAGCTGATGGATACCATATGTATTTTAAACCAATGGGGGAATTGTTCTTCCATTTAAATTATTGAAAGAGCATCGGCATCTGCTTACAGGCAAACTACTGCTTGACAACAGGGTCTTAAGCAATGGTGCTGAACAGCGGCAGTACGTCGCCTGTTCTTTTTCAGGGCTCAAATACGTGCTGTATATTGCAAGGAGCTTACTGGGGTGTTCTTCCCAGCAAATGAAACATTTCAAGCTGAGTGTCTGCCTCAGACTGCTCAAGGCTTTTTGTTAAAATGGCCTAGTAGCTCTACCACCTAAAGTAGGGACTGCTCTTTGGAGAGTGAGTTTTCTGTGTAATGAATTTAATAGTTTGCCAATCCTAAAGAAAAACCCACTCAAATGCAGACAACTGCAATGTGCGCAAGCACAGCAGAGAGCTGTCACATTAACAGCTAACGTCTGAGACGATGATGTCTTTGAGGGGCATGTTCAAGCCTCCAGCAGCTCTTTGCAAATTCGTCTCTGAATGCAACAGCCTTCACTTGAAGAGAAGCGGTAAGAGGCGGCTCAGAGCTGCTACGTGGAAGACTTAAAAGAGCCCGAGTCAGTACTTACCACGCAAAGGACTGGTGTGATCACAGTCCAGCTCCATTTCATCCAGGGACCAGGTCTGTATCCAATCATATCCTCAATGGCATCATAAATATTATCAGCGCCTGTAACAGATAGTGAGGGCATTTGTCAGACTAGAGCATATAAAAGCCATGTTACAGGCTACAGCATTACAACCACTTTCCTAGCCCACCCCAGGGATATTTAAAGGGAAGATGAAGGTGTCAGATATATTGTTCATATGCTTCCCATGGCTGTGAAGTTCAAGATGATTTTCTCCTTGAGAAGCTCAAAGGTTGGGAGACAATCTCATCCTACACATCCCTCATTATTTAGATGCAGGAGTGCAGTGCTGACCCCTCCTGCCCACCCCTCTCCCCAGGCTCTTGCTGATCGCACTGGGGGAATCATCACGGGAAGGACACAACAGCAGACAGTACACCCTGCTTGTACAGAAATCTGACTGATGCAAAATGAAGGCTTTGTTTGTTTTGCTTTCCTAAGGAGATGGAGCACATGAAGAATCAGGGAAATGACCAGTCCTAAGCACCAAACATCTTCTGATTGTTCCTCAGCTAATGTCTCAGGCAGCTACCCAGGCTACTGTCAGACCCTGGTACTCAGCATCACCTAAAAATAACGGGACAGAATACACTTTTCTGTCAGCTTTCCTTTTGTATTTGCTGTTTGGTTGGCTTGCCCCTTGCAGACATTGCAGCTTTGAAAAGAAATTCTCTGAGAGACAAACAGAGATTTTTCATGGCTGGCCAAACTTTCAACTCTCACCTCTAAACTTAACACATGTAAATGCTTAATTGTGTCTTTATTAATTAGCAATGGAAAAATACTCATTTTCGCATGGAAAAACACTGGAGGTTGGCTTCATCCCAGATGCAAATTTGTCTCCAAGAGGTCAGTGCAAATTTATATTAATGGCATGTGTCTGTTGCTGGGAAGAAGATTCTGGGGTGGCTGATGACTAAATGTTTGCCTAGTAAAATTGTCACTGACTCATCAAAAGGTATCAGATGAAAGGATTCTCACTTACCATAAACCCAGGCTACAGCAATACATTCAAAGAATGCAACCCACAAAAGGCATACACCACTAGCTGCATAGTAGTCAAAGAGTTGAAAAACATACATGCCACCCTGTAAGAGAGAGACACGATGGCTTAGGATCCAACAGGAAAAAAACTGAGTACTTCAGGCTCAGCTCCCAGTAACATCTACCAACATATCTTAATGGTTGCTCTTTAATGAGGAGAAATATCAAGTAGGTAGGGTAAATATTTGGCATTACCTTCTCCAGGGAATATGCGTGTTTACTACATGCATCCAAACAAGACAACGATTAAACAAAATTAAGCCACTTAGTATAATCTACTGAGACATTTAAATCTTTCCTTCGTGGAAGTATTTAGGGTGGGCATTTATAGAAACAAATGATGTAAAGCAATAGTAGGCCGCCTCCTAACATGAACGCCTCCAAAATACTGAAAACAGAAGTCAGTTCATCAGGAGGGCCTTCATTTATGAATTGAGTAGGACTTTTTTAATGAGAATAGTTCATTTTTTTTCTTTCTAATTCTCTTTAGTTATACCATGCTGTTAGGGTCTTTGTTCTCACTACACTGAACGGTATATATTTGCACTTTTACTTGAAAAACTGTGTTTGTTAGGCACCTCTG